TTCATTTTGTAATTCATAATAATGGAACTGATGGTCAGCTTGAAGAGTTCTTGTTAGGATTAAACATGAAGTAAATTGTAGCTTCTGCTGTAATTGTCATTTTTTTTTTTTGTAACCAGAATCCAGCCATTGGTAGACCAGAAGCAAGAGTGATTCAATATTGAACCAACTTCTTGCTCAGGGCCAGTACTGGTGGCTGGGGCCTGGGATGGGATGGGTTGCAGAATAAACTCACAGGTGGAGACAAGTAAGCTTCCCTACTGGGGGAAAGAGACAACTGATTTATTCTGGGCAAGAAATCCAACAATCTTGGGTGGCATCAAGGCACAGCATCACAGATATTTATCCCCTGGTGCCCATAACCACATTAGGCTGTTGAGTTTCTCTTTAGGAATCTGCTAAGAATATTCTATTTCTAGTATTTTTAATAGAATTCTAGCTCTCAGGCAGATTTCTAAGTTCCCTGCCAGTTTTCCCTTATATATAGCAGTGTTTTTATTATTTGCATCAAATAGAAAAAGTGACCTAGTTGAAACTAAGCATACATTACTGTGTACCCTCCTGAAAACGGGGTGTATTTCAAAAAGCATAGTAATAGAGCGGAAAGAGGTGCCCTGTAGATAGATAGCAGGGGACTCAGTAGCTTTATTAACACGGGACCTTAGATGAAGATCCTTACCTTCTCCCAGCCTCTCTCAATTTCAGTTTTCACAGAAGAGACTTATACAAGATAACTGTCCAATTTTGCATGGGACCTAGAATTCCCTGATGACAGTGAGCAGCGTTGCTGATACATCAGTCCATATAACTTTCCACGGCTGGCTAGAATATTTCCTTACTGCTCGTGGCTGTAAATAGGAAAATAAAGTCATTTTGTCACCATCCCTCTTCCTTCTCAATTTCCCCCATTCCTTAACTCAATTTCTAAACAGTCGCTTTGCCTCTTTTGAATTCCCTGAGGAGTTTTCTAAGTTGAAAGGCTGTCCATTTTCCTTAGTTGCTAATTATGCATTGTGGTACTTACCTGTGAGGCGTCTGAGCTTAAGTTATTGGACAGAAAACCCCGATGAGACTGTCCTTTGGAGAGGTAGATGTCTTATGGAAAAGATTGGAAACACTTTTTTTTTGTTTGTTTGTTTTTACATGTTAGGTCAAAAAAACAATCTCTCTAGAAATAAAGCCACTGAACTCACTCAGTAACCAAAATTCGAAGTTGACTTGATTACTTTTTGAAGCAAATTGAGGAATTATTTCAGAATCTCTTAAAATTACTTCTATCACGGTACAAAGGTGTAGTTTCTTCCACAGATGAGTCGAGGGTGAAAGTTATGCCCATATAGATGTATGGAGTCCTGCCAGCACAGTGATACTTCTCAGATGCCAAGGGATGAGCCAGCTGCCTCAGAATCCCCTGGAGGAGCTCGGGAAAGTGTGGATGGCTTGACCCCTCCCAGGAGGGTCGGACCAGGCAGCCAAAGGACGGCGCTGTGACTGAGCAGTCTGTCTCAGAGATGTGGATGTGTAGCTACGTTTGGGCATCATCATGTTGTTGTATTTTAACTATTAGTTTAGAAATCTTTCTCCACGTGACTTTATCTCTTTATATAAGAATCCTCAGGGCTTCACACTGTGCTGGCCACCTGTTGAGTCTCAAATAAATATTGAACGCATGTTGAACATGTGCTTTTACTAAAAAGAAAATCAGTAAATAATTTGCAGGCTTAACGCTGATATATATGTATTTTTATCTCCGTTGTGTCTTTTCGTGTTTGCAAACTCTTGTCTTTTTTGTTTGTTTTTTTTTTGCCTTCATAGCTTGCTCATCAAGATTTGGATGGAATTTTTGCTTCGCAGGATGTTGTAGTGCACACAGACATTCGGAAGGAAAGTGTAAACAGTCGCACCCCCCCCAATTCTTAGTTTATAGTTAAAACCGTGGGTATATAGTGAATGTTGTGGTACTAGAAAAGAATTGGTTAAACAGTACTCATCTATGGAACTTGCCGTGGTCCACCGGCTGAAGACGAGCTTACAGACGGTTACTGCCCATCCGGCCACTGTGCTCCAGCTGCCTCCTCACCCTGGCCATCCCCACAGCTCATGAAGATCATGTCTTTTCACTGATACTTTTTTGATAGTTTTTATATAACAAAATCCTTAATCTATTTATAACTTAAAAGAATAAGGCACTATAAACAAATTACTCAAAGTAATATATTTGTCTTATCTTTCACTATTTCTATTTCATGTTGATTTTTTAGCTGTAAAGCTGTTAAATTGATTCTTATTATCTCTTCCCCTTTTTTACTCTTTGGTTTTCAGCTTTATTTAAATGTCATGAGGGTTTTCTTTATGAGAACAGTGTGTTACATTGCAATACTTTAAACTGAGAAAAGTGAACTGAGATTTGCACGCCATGTGCACATTTTGATTAACCTCCTGTTTTCTTTTGTCAAAGGCTTATGTAGCCACAAGTACGTCATAGTCATTGAGTCTCCCATTCTGCCTGTGTGTGATCAGAGCATCTCATTGCCTTAACTCCAC